AGAAGAAAACGAGCAGTTAAACAATTAAGTTGGAATTTTCCAAGTAATAAAATTGAATCAACGTGTGCTCGTTCTCAGCTTCATTTTATTTGGTTTCTTCCAACATCATGCATGCACCTGTTGGATGACGATTCAACAGTTCTAACGTCAACAAAACGTCCATCGCACATGTCTTGGTAGGTGTAGGAAATGGATGTGATGTGCACAGTAGATCTATATCTAAACATATCCACACTCTATCAACACATACGATTATTAATATCTCAAATATGCAGTATAGATGGAGACAGATGATGCTGTTATAAATTTAAAGTCTCAGCTGTGTTTTTTAGAATTCAAGCCCGAGCAATGAATTATGTATGTTTTCGTCTGCGATCATGCTTTTTAATGCTAAGATTTAGCGTAAATGGAGAACAATTAGTTCAAAAGTAACATCACTAAAGATGACAAAGTATGATGAGAAATATGTGATCAGTTGTTTTTCCAACCAAATTACAAAGTGCACCATCTTATAAATTTCAAAAAAATGTCAAGACATATGTTGACACACCGATAAGTCGTGCATAGATTTTTTTGTAGATAGAACTTTTTGTATTCTGTCTGGACACTGAACAAAACTATTGAATTACGGAAGAGTGAGTTTGTTATTGTAGTTGTACATTTGACTGCTTTTATATTGCAGTCAACTTTGGTGGCAAATTAGGATTCACGTTTTGGGATTGAGTTGATGAAAAGACTTTCCAGACGTCTCCTCCGAAAGAAACAAGATAGAAAAAAAAAGGCATTAACAATTTTTGATAAGATGAATTCATCGAACTTCTTTTCTATCTCAATGTGATAATTTTCAGATCAGCGTATAAGAACATTTTTGTTTATCTTCATTCTAGCAATTCCTCAATTATTATTGAAACAAGGATGCGTTTCTAAAATAAAAACCAATCTTAATTTCTTTCTGAAGAAGTCTTTTTTGTTTCAACCTTATTGTTTGGTAATTATAGAATTAACTCGATGATCAATCTTTAAACATTCAGTAGTATAAAATCATGATATTCGATCACAATTCTATAGATAACAGATGATGACTTCGAAATCAATGTTACGATTGTGCCTGCAATTAATTATTCTCTTAAGGATAAAGTTAAAAATCAAAGATTTATAAATCTCAGTCGATTATTGATATGACAACATTTCTATGCATATATTCTAAAGGACTAGACGTTTTTAAAATCAAATGAAAATCTGTAAAAATGAAATACTATATTAAAAATGATGAATTATCAACTACCGAAAACCATTCATACACGACATTACAGAACAATCAAATCATGAGTTCCCAATTTTTCGCCATTCGAAATGATTTGTGCAATTTCATCAAATTCAAATAAGTATAATTTCAACAAAAAGTAAATAAGAACAATGAAAATCCTTTATACGAACTGAAATTTATTTCAAAATCACAATGTGAGATTATAAAAACACTATCAACGACAGAGAATCAATCGAACTGATGAATTTTTATTTTTGTTAGTGTATAATGAAGTTTTATGGGAAAAAGTTAGCAAATATGTTAGCGATAGAAATTCTTTAGATTAGACGATTTTTCTGGATTTCATTCATTTTTAAGTTATTTTTGTCATTGAATGCCATATGCTATCTGACATTGTAATTAATATTCGTGAATTTTCAATAGACCGACTATGTTTGTATTCGTTTTTGAAACTGAAGTGTTCTTTTGAACTCAATCAACTTACGTCCATGATTTATAGTAGTAATTCCATAAGCCCCTAATTTTGTATTTTATCTTTTCCTAGACAATTGACAATAGAGTAGCAGCTTTCGGATGATAAATCAATGTGAATAAAGAAAAGAAGTAAAAATGACTTTCATTAACTCAGACTTTCAATCCAAACCAGGCTGCGATGGCCGAGCGGTTAAGGCGTCAGATTGGAAATCTTATGGGATCTTCCCGCGTAGGTTCAAATCCTACTCGCAGCGTCCATTTTTCTTTCACTTCTTATCAGGTGAATTCGTATCGCACGGTTTGTCAGAACAGCATCTCGTGTAAGTAAGATGAAGGAATTACGCAAGAACATTATTTTTGACGAAATAGATTTATCTCGCCTTTGATTATCAGTTTCGTCACATATTTCATAGATATGCTTGTGTGAGCGCAAAATATCCTAAATAATGTTTTATTTTGATTTTGGTCATTATAGAACTGCTCAGATTAACGAGAAAAGCTCTTTGAAAACTTTTCTCGTCTAATACAATGGACCAGCAATGAACTCTGACATTATGTTTTTTTGAATAACCAAAAGTTTTGTTAGAACAACATGTTACGCACTAGCATAGTATGATATAGAAGATGATATGGTTTTCTTATGAATATGAGGAATGAGATAACATTTATTCACATTATTATAAGACGGCTCTCGGATTCAAATCAAACTATTGAGAAACATCGTTCATTTATTCGAATAATCAAAACGGCATCCCTTTTTACTGAATTCATCCCATATCTTTTTGGAAAACCAATTGATTTGAATAAGAAAAAAAAAAACTTCAAAATTCATCTGTCATCATTTAAAACAATTGTGGCAAGTTCTTGCATGATGTTCTAATTGATCCCACACTATATAATCATCAGAACATTATCAATCTCTTAATACTACTCGAAAATAATATTTCTAACAACGTTGGCATCTATGCTACATAGATAATCCTTCAAGAAATAATTACCAACTTTCATTCCTTCAATGTTATATTGAATCAACTTATTAGGTTTTTCGTATGGATGCATATATTTCAATATAGTACAAAATCCACCGAAACACTTACTCGCATCTTTCGTTGAATTGAATGCGTCTCCTTGAAAAATGAAATAGTATTCTTTACAAAAATATTTCCTTGTTGCACTATGGTACGCCATGTATGATAATGACGAGAAAACATGAAAATGTGTGAATGTAATAGAATTGAACCCTCACATTGACATTTGAAGCGCGAGACTCGGATCCTAATTCACATCCACATCCTCACATATTTCCACCCTTCTGTTGTAGCTTTTTATAAATGTATTTGCATTTGTCATTATTTTCATCATGTATTTCGTAAAGAGATGAGAGAGAACGAACAAAATATAAGATGCAACGGTTGATGTCGAACGAACAGTTAATCAATCTTCAAAACTGATAGACAATTCGTAGTTCTACGGAGCATCGATAAAGAACATCCAATCAAAAGTTGCTTCTTTGACTTTAATCTATCCAAGTCGGTTGAACTTATCCGATTCTTCTACTCAGAATGTTCATTTTCAAACGATTGTTTTAAGAAAAAGTTTAGTTGTTTAATAATGTTCTTTTTTCAATCGAGTAAAATTTCATTAACTGAATGTGCGAGAAAAAAATGGAAAAAAGTAGCCCAGTTCAAACAGATTTACGTTGAATACTCTTGAATTCTTGTAGTTACAATCAGACTCTATCGTATTCTAGCAGAAGAGTGGGTGTAGGGGCAACAGAAGACGCGCAACCCCATCAGCATCTTTGTGCATGATCAAATTTTACCCTCTGCAAAATTTTATATGACTTTGAAAAGTTCTTCGATTTCTGTCGTTCATTTTTATCACTAAAATAGTTTAGTTTTCTTCTCAAATAGATGATTCTCGATGGACACTATAATGGCACTCAAAGTTATTCACAAAAGAGATGTCACTAGTTTACGTTAAAGATTACCGATAGGATTAAGCTAGGTCAATACATGAGTTCACTCTGAAACTTCACACTACTGGATAAGTTATGGTTTCAGATTCTTTTTCAGACTATATTTAGGTATCTACATACATCTTGAGTATGTTTCTGAACTCCAAATACATAGATGTAGTCGAAGTTTCGGAAATTACTCGGCATTCAATCATGAATAAATTTAATCCAACGCAACCCTCCAGCATCTCTGGTTTATAAGTATGTGACAAAAAAAATGGTAGAAAGCAGTTATGAGTTCGAATTTAAATTTGTGTGAAAATGTATTTCATTGGATTTTTTATAATAATATGCTTTCATAATGTTTATTATGCCTCATGTTGGAAAGAAATGTATGTACAACACATTTCTTCTTCTGCACCTGTCAACCATTTTACTAAATCATTAAAAGGCAAAGAAAGAAACTCTTTCAAAAGTCAGAGTATTTTATTATTCAAGCCTACTAGTATTTATTTTTTCTTTCTACATCATTCATCCTCGAGTATTGATGGTGTGCATGTGTATTTGCATGCATCTTTAGAAGTATTCGAAGGCAACATTAAGAGTGTGGGTGTGAGTGTGAGTATGGGCATAGGTTTCTTGTATTTCTCTTTTCTTTTGCTGAGATAAAAGCCATAATCTTTTTTTTATGCGTCATATCAGTGCTTTGGTTTCTTTTTTCCATCTTAAACAACAGGAATAAAGAAAAATATCTTTGGATACTATTAGTATTATTCTTCTTCTTCATTTCTTTTGCATTCATTGTAACGTTGAATTTGGTATAGTGTGAAATTATTAACTCAAAGAAAAATGGCGACAATATCTAAGCTTGGTAGCATGTCTTTTCTCACTGGTAGTAGCATAGAAGGTGGTGCTTATACGCGTCATCTTGCCCAACAAGCTATGCAAGATATTGATTTCATGTTAGTTGAAGGAATAATAAAGTCGCCTAATTGTATTATCAAATTAGAGAATATACCGGGATTCGTTCAAGTCAAATATGACGAAAGTTTCATTGAACAATGTTCAACAACACCATTCTCTATCAAACCAAATCAATATGGAGTATTATGTATCAATGGTTTCAAGATGAAAGAGAAGTACTGTGGTGTCGATGTAAACTCATTATTTCCAAGATCAACAATTACAGCGACCAGTCAAACGACAACAGCATCCGCAAGTACTGAAGTCAAATATAAGAGTATTTTTGAGACTACATCACTGAGTGAACAATTCGAAACGATACTGAATTTCATCCGACGAATGCGAGTACTCGAAGATGTCGAATCATTCCAATCGAAATATATCTCGGTTTGTGAAGCATTACGAAAATCGTTATCGCAAAATATATTACCTATGATTGGTCCAATTGCTGATGCTGAACGTCTGTATGAACAAAGTTTTCAGGATATAATTAGTTTAACATTTCCCCTGTATTATATACGAATACCAGCAGTGAATCAAGTACGATCGAATGTTCTACTTGAATTCTATGAAAAATATAAATATCTGGGAAATGCATCCATGCTGGAAGATTACATGGAATACGGGTTATCGTTGATGAATTACGATGTCGACTTGGTACCAGCTTTGAAACTGGAATTTTGGCCAGATGATATGAAAATATTTCTGAATAGAATTCAAAATTCTCGACCTAAACTATATGAAATCATTCTTGAACAAGCATCCATGCATCTCATACCGAAATGGTCTAGTAAAACTCAGGAAGTCGATCAAGAACTCGAATTTCGATATTCATTTTCAGCAATTGAACGTCTATTGGCTAAGAATCGTACACGAGTAGAACAAATTCTAAATGGTGTTGCACGAAGTATTTATCATCGATGTTTGAAGAAAGAACCTTGTCTCGAAGATCATACGAAAACCATTGTACCATCCTATTTTACCAAAACAACAGTATTATGGATGTGTGAATTGTACAATTTGAATGATCTTTGTTCTGAGACAGACGATGATCAAACCATTGCTAATATCATGGCAACAGAATGGTTGAGCTATGTCAGAGAAAAATTATGTTCGGGTTATTGTCCACATTATTTTATCGATTCTTTCAATCTCTTAGAAACATGTTCGTTGGCATCGTTAACTCGAGCAGCATCTATTCTAGAACATGAAGTTCGTTTGTATGAGGACGTTAAAATCAATGTTTTAATTAAACAGGACGAATTGATGGATAAACAACAACAAACAACAGAGAATTGGCTACAAAATATGAAAGTGAAAGATATTTTAGCTGCAGTGAATGATTATCGGCTGATGAGAGAAAATTGGCTCTGTCCACCAGAAAAAAACCAAGATGAAGGTGATGTGTCCGATTGTTTTTATACTTTGAATCAATTACGAGCATTAGACGGTGATAAGCAACAGAACTGGAACACATATCAACGTTTATTTTTGACAGTTGATCAATCAACTTGGTTACCACCCATATGGGACGAACAAGTAGCTGAATGTTCTGTATGTGATTTCGTTGATGGTCTTATCGCATTAGGTTTATTCATGAAACAGATCCTAGAGGGCATGAAAAAATCAGACATTGAACAAACAATGGCTAGAAATAGCCGTGAAATGGAATTCTTTTCCACACAGAATCTTGTCAATGATCTGATTCAACCAGGCAATATCGTTCAAAATGGTTTAATGACATCGTGGTTACCTATGTTCACTTGTTCCTATTTCAATCAATCGTTAACAAATGTACCATCGATTCGACAACGTTCAATCATTGCTAATCATCCTACTGGGCCGCTTCAAGACCTTCTACAAGGTCGAACATGTCCGACACCTTTAGATCCCCAATCACGACAAACATATCAACAATATGCTCAAAATGCCTCATATAGATTTCTGGATCTTCTGAGTGATGCTCCTAATATCGATATGACGTTGGGAGATTTATTGAAATATTACGATCGGCCATCGAGAACAAACGAGGTAGACCGAGAATTATTCTCACTTTTTTTTGTGATAATCTTTTCTTTCTAGCCTGTCATAACATCATCCATCGAAGAACAAATTCTTTTACATGCAACAAATTCTTCCTCAGTGAATAAAGAAAGTATTACACTAATTGTTTTCGATCCTAATCTTACTATGAATAATATAACAGATGAAGAGTATCGTACTATCAATGATTATGTGTTAATTTATGGAGTGAAGTCTCAATTACTTACCTACGTGCAATCAATCAGTGAAGAATCTATTTTCATAATTCTTTGTCAATCGTCATCCGATGAAGAGTTTCTATCTCAATTAAACGATTTGAATCAGATTCATTCCATTTTCATTTATTCTGTACAACAAGTGGTTGATGATCAGCTCACGAGCAAATATTCAAAAGTAATTGGTACCTTTACAGAACAAAAAGTATTATTGGAACAAGTTCGAACAAGCATCGAACAACCGTTTGCACTACGATTTGGATTTTATGATCCACAGCAACAATTGACAATGCATACAAAATTATCCAAAGAGAGTCTCATATTTTTCTGGAATTTATTATTGAAAGATCTATTAATGACAGAACAACCAATAGATAGAAGTTTTCTCATACAGGATTGTCGAGAATATTATCGTCTAAATACTGTCGAAATGGAAAATATCGAACAATTTGAAAAGACATACGATTCTCGTAATCCTCATGAATGGTATTTGAAATCTTGTTTTGTTTTCAAACTTCTCACGAAAGCATTTCATACAGCCGACATAGAACGATTGAAATTATTCAACTTTTTTATTCGTGATCTAAGTTCGACCATAGAAGAGTTTTTTAATATGGAACCACTCTATTGTACAAGAATAATAGAAAAAACTGAATTCGTAAAATTATTGGAAAAGATCGGTCATCTAATGATTTTTAGTGAATTTTTAGTCGTACATCGTTCATTCGATGAGATAGCACCATACCGGAATGAGTCACAAGTGACGATTAGTTTTGAAATAAGTAACATGCCTACATCTGCTATTCATGTGATTGACTCGACTAGGATAATCATCAATTTAGGTGTTACATTTAAACTAAACTCACTTGATTTCGATGATAAATTGGGAGTCTGGATTGCTCGCTTGGTTTTCAGTCATGAAGGAGTACAAATCGCACAAAATTATATTGCTGTGGAACAACAGACAATGGAACGAATGACATTACCATTGATAATAGCTAATTTATTACTGAAAATGAATGATTTGTCGATGACGAAAAATTATTTAGATAGTTTGAAAAATGAAGATGAAGCTCTCATCCATCACTATTATGGAAATCTACACTATAAAAAAGGCGAATATGAATTAGCACTCGAGAATTTTCAAATAGCTTATGAATTGATGATTGGTAATGGACGGATTCAAGATAGTGCCTTAGTCTTACATGATATTGGCTATGTTTATGATAGGAAAAAAGAGTTCAATGATGCCTTAGATAGTCATCGAAAAGCCTTGGAAATTAGACAAACCTATTGTCCGACAAATGATGCTCGTATAGGTATTAGTCTATATAATATTGGTCGTACACTTGTGAACATGGATGATAATAGTCAAGGGTTAATTTATCATCAAAAGGCTTTAGAGATCTTTGAAAATACACTGACATATAATCATGTATTCACGGTGCACAGCATACATAGTCATGGAGTTGTGTATTTCAATATGGGAGACTGTTACCAAGCACTTCATTACTATATGAAAGCATTGGAACTGTACGAGAAAATTTTACCTCGAGATGAACATGGCATAGTGGTGGTGAAAAATGCACTAGATCAAATTCAGAAATTTCTTGCTTGATATAGAATGACTTAATGTCTTTTTTGTGATATTCAACATTTTCACTTATCAATCTAGAATAATAATTAGATTTTTCTTTAAGAACTTGTGTAGCATGGCGTAAGATTTTCTGTTCAATACCCTTCTTATTAAAAAACTTGAATTGGATAGCAAATATGATAAACTGAACCAGAAAAAAATTATTCAGAGCACAGATGAAGCTAGATATAATAAAGACATATGGTGGGTGTAGGTGCCGGTGTGATGTACAGAAGTGGAAGAAAAAGGAACAAAAACATACCACCGTACCCTAGTAGAGACGTTTCAGAAATTCTGTCTTGAACTGATGAAGATACTGTTTTTTTTTTTCGATAATCACGTTGTTCATCTTGTTTGAAGAATAGATAAAGTTCTTTATGAACTGAAAAATGTCGGTGAATATATGACAAAATTCATCTGTTTATTACAAAATTCCTACAAAATCTTTTGTCATTATTCAATAAGAAAAAAAAGAACAAACAAACACAGGTTAGTTAGCAGATCTGGAAGTTGAGAGTCCGACGAATCATCAACTCTTCAGGTTGAATTGCTATCAACGAAGATGACGAGTGAACTTCTTAAAGTGTTCCCTTGCTGTTGATCTGATATTTTGGCTATATGTTGGAATTTCTAGACTCGAGTAACCTTAAGTTGGCTCACTTGTCTGAGCATTTGGGGTTGACTTATTATGGATTCTGGACTTATGACACAAGGTTATCTGCAACAGCAAATATGCGGATTCCAACTTGAAATTTTGTCTATAAATAAATCTAATGGCCACTAGAATGCCTTTAAAAGATTCAGACACAACATAAAAACCGGAATATTTTGAATATTCAACATCGTAAGAAGGATGTATTCGTTTTGTCTGAAACTTTTAAAGTATCTTAGTGGCGATTATATTTATTTACAGACAAAATTTCACGTCGAAATTCGCATAATCACTGTTGCAGATAACTTGGTGTCATCGATCCAAAATCCAATAAAGTGATCATAACTCAGTCCCAAAGGCCCAGGCAAGCGAGCCAACTTAGGGTTATTCTAGTCTAGTCCAGAGGACATCGAAATATGTGCTGATTTTACGACTGCCTAACGACAAGCTGAAAATCATCACAATGTTTTAGCGTTTTCGTTCTGTTATTTCGCGCTTTGTTTAATTGTTTCATTAAGACTTAAGCTTGCTACGTTACGTGATTGTTGTTTTCGAAACACTGAGGCAATAGAAGGACGATTTCCCATTTCAAGGATGTTGTCAATTGCTGGAATAGAATAGAGAATGAATTTCATTTGACATTTCGTAATTCCTATTACAAAATGATGTGCATTGTCGATGAATAGTGCCTATGTTTTGGGAATCCTGATCTATTAGGTCAAATCCTGATTTTGCATACTAGGTCGTTACGACTCCTGCAGGCCTGAAACACATTCAATCAATTAGTTTCAGGTTCATAAATATTGTATCCAACGAGCTATATGCGTGTATAAAGTGTAAATCCACAAGTAAACAGATATATAAATAGGATTAGTTTGTAACTGTATTCAATGTCTTAAAATCATCTAAATAAAAAGGAGCTACGATTAAAATCTCGAAAAAAGATTTATTATCTTATGTTTAATTGGAGAAGCAGTGAAATCAATATGATTTACCTCAGATTCGAAGCTAATAAAATTCCAGAATAGAAAATATAGAATCTTAAACGCTCATAAATGAGCACTTCTTGTTTTTGTATACCATCAGTGTTTTATCTAGATTTTTTCGTTTGAAGCCAAAAGTTAATAGAGTCAAGCCACTCTTGGAAGGAGTGTCATCTTCTCTTACGCTGGATAAAACATTGTACACTGACATATTTATTAATGTAGGACACAAGCATATTCGATCATAAAGGTGACTCACCGCCATGTTTCTTGTAACTTCTCAACAACCTGACTGAATTATCTGAATCGTGGAGAAAAAAATTGTTTTTTTTTTGATATTCTTAAAAATAAAATCCAAACTGTTAGACAAGAGAAAAATTCGAATTTGTGAATATTATTATTTTGTCCTATCAGTATATTCGATCTTGAAAAAACATGTAAATCGTTAAGAGAAAATAAAAATATAAAATGAAATATTCGAATATATAAATCCATTTTTAACTTTTATTTAAATGCATTGCTAATTGATGTGACTGCTATAGACGCTAGAGTATGAGGCATATCGATGTTTTTCAAATAACTTTTGATAGAAACAAGATAAAGACCTGGAGTGTTCAGCAACTGAGAAAGAAATGATTTTGCTACAAAATAATGACAGATGTGTTTGGTCAGTAATTAGCCAATCAAGTAAGTTTTTAGTGAAGATTTTTGAGAACGATATTGTTAAACTATTTCTCTTTCGATGTACGGAAGGCTGATCTCTCTACCACGTTCTGTTCAAAAGTTAGAGAGATTTCTCAGAGACTCCCTTATTACCGTGATTTTACCCTGAATCTCCGAAAAAAAAGCAGATTTTGATAGGTGCAACTGACATAGCTCGGTCAGATAGCAATGTTTATTTTCATTTTCTAAGAGATCTAAAATTATGACAGCAAGATTTTTTGAAATATTAATTTTTCCAGCTACAAATATCAAATAGCAGATGGGTCGAAAATTTTGCTGCTATATTTTTAAATCTCTTAGAAAATGAAAATCAACAGTACCACTTGACTAAGCTCTATCATTTACCAGCATCCAGATGCTTTTCCAGTTAGCTCATGGTAACACCACTGTATAAGAAATCTCTGGAAAATCTGTATAACTTTTCAACAGAATGTAGTAGAAAGATCAGCTTTGTGTAGAACAAAATAGAAATGCGTTAAGAACATCATTCTCAAAAATCTTCACTAAAAACACACTCGATTGACCAATTATTGATCAAACACATTTGTCACTGTTTTGTAGCAAAATAACTTCTCTCTCAGTTGACGAACACCCTAGGTTTCTATCGTATTCTTTTTAATTATAATTAAGAGTTCTTTTGTTTTTATAAAGATAAGGAAAAATGCAGAGGTCAATAGAAAGATTTTACTGGTCTGGAAAGTAAAGAAATTCGTCATGTATTTGTTGAAACCTAAAAACTAATAATTTTATATAAAATAGGTTTATTCAATTCTCTTAATTCAATTATCGATTACGTTTGGTCTTGTTGCATCATTTCAATTTATGTATGTTTTTTTTCTTCTAATAAAAGACATTGAAATTGTATACATATGATGTATATTGTAGATCATTGATTGGCAAATACGTATGAAGTCCGAATGGTCGTTGGCTTTATTTCACATTGTTTGGTTCGAAAAATGCAGGACGAAAATTTCCACTTAATCTTATTTTACTTGCCATTGTAGTAAAATAGAAAATTAAATAAAATTAATTAAAAAAATAAAATTTTTAATTTTAGACATTATCAATGGGTTATATAGTATGATTCGAGATTTAAATATTATTTATTCATTAAATAGTGTTTTTTTCTCTGTAAAAAAAATTTAGATGGGTATAATTTCCGCATATTATAAAATCGAATTAGTCTTAATTGCTGTTGGTATAACAACATTTGTTTGTTTCGGTATGGGTGTGGGTGTGGATGTGGTTCTTAGTCTTCTCTTCACCCACACCTACACCCTTAAACCAGTGCAATATATATTAAATCATCACGATAGATATACAAATAATGTTTATGTTTGTTGCTTATCATTTAGGTGCAAGGTATGGTTGTAGTGTTTATACTTCATCAAATCCAAACTATAGCCATTGCTATACAATCCCTAACTCAATTAGGCAACGATGTATGTTTATGGGCACGAATTCTTATTGGAAACACCACATTGGGTAATTCTTCAATGAAAACCTGTCCATCTGGATATGACATCACAATTGATGGAGACTATATATATGTCATTTATCATGATACACAAGCGTTTGGAGAATATCTAATCACGTACGAATAGTTACGAGAAAAAAAAAACTTTTCAAAAATCAGCAATTAATTTATTTGTGTTCAATTCTCTAACTAAATTATTTTCTTTATACTTTTTGTTTTTTTGAAAATTGAAAAAATTTTGAAAAATGAATATTATTAGTATTATTGTTACTTTGAATGATGGTACCAACAGAACATATGTTTTAGAAAAAATTGACATCTAGCCAAAATTTCGTTCAATTTTAAATTGATTCATTTGTAAATAAATGAAAAGAAAGAAATATCCTCCGTTTTCTACAATTAATTTATAGCTTTTTTTTATTGTATTATTTATTGAAAGTTACACTTGACGTTGATTTATCCACATGATTATTTCAGAGTTGCACTTGTATTGATAAACCATCCCGATTATTGAACAACAAGAAACATTGCATTCAAATGAAAAAGCTGTTAGCGCAATCCCTTGCGGGATTAAAAATGTGAAACACGATAGACCTACTGTTACTAATTAAATGGACTTCGTTTTCTTCCGTTTCTTTATGATAGATTTCTAGCTTATCGTTTGTTTTAATCTTCCAAAACTACAGTTTCTGTGTAACAGTCTGTGAAGGGTTTAGATATTCTCTGTCGCGGTCTGTGATGGTGTCTGGAGGTTCTCTGTCACGGCCTCTGGAGTCTCTTTGTCGCGGTCTGCGATGGGTTTGGAGCTTCTCTGTCACAGTCTGTAATGATTATTAATTTTCTATCACGGTCTGTGACGGTCTCTGAGGGTTCTCTGCCACGCTCTGTAATGGTCTCTGGGGTTTCTCTGTCACGGTCTGTGATGGTCTCTGTAGTCCCTGCGTCACGATCTATGATAGTCTTTGGGGACTCTCTGTCATGGTCAGTGATGGTCTTTGGGAGTTCTCTGTCACGGTCTGTGATGGTCTCTGGAGTCCCTCTGTCACGGTCT